TTTATTCGGAGGCGGCTCCATCTTGCTCCAGTTGTGTTGTGAGTCGATGCTGTGACTTATGAATCTAGAAGGATCAATAAAGGCCTGTGGATTTTAGATTAGAATTCATCGTGACAGAGTTTCTATTTGTGCTTTTTTTTTTTTTTTGCACCATCACTTTGTTAAAAACCCTCACACTTCCCTTCCTGCATTGAGCAGAGCTTCGCTGCACATTAAGCATCTGAATCACAACAGCCTAAAGTCTCGAGATTTCTCACACCATGAGATCATCTGCATTCCTGTCACAATAACTAAAGCTGATCTGGAATCCGTTGTGACACCAGATCGAGGCTGCGAGCGGCCCGAACGAGTCGTATTGTGTGTCCTTGGCCAATCTGCGAGAAGCCTTTGTTGTGGGTTTTTTTTTTTTTTTGGGTCGGGGGGAGAGGAGGAGGAGAACACTTGATCAGATACAAGTCGGTTTTGTTGAAAGGAGACGCGGCTTTTTACCCAGTCAAGCATGTAGGAGCTGAGATAAGAGAAAAAGAAGCAGGGAATGAGTTGTTCTGAACGGATCCTGATACGGTCCTCACTCTGCAGCCCCTGGTGCAGCCAATCTACTCACACATTCACTGCAGTTCCCCCCCTCCCACAGCAGCACAGAGACAGAATGAAACCCCCCTGACTACCTTCTGGAAAATGTATGAAAGCGAGATGTGGAGATCCAAGCAGTAGCCCATATCCATTCTGTCTTGTAATGGAAATGTGACACGGTGGGGTGAATACGAAAAAGAAAGAAGGGGGTAAGAATGAAAGAAAGAAAGAAAAAAAACAGAAGAGGAAGAAACATAGAGAAGAGCTTGTGTCCTCAGGTGGAAAATCAAGCAACAGATACGGCAACACTGTCCACGACCGCAGCTGCACTGCATTATTGATCACGTGGCGTCACCCCCCCCCGTCCCCCCCACCCCCAGCAACCAAGACATGTTGTGGGGACAAAACACAGCCATTATTTTTTGAAGCGCATCCATTCGCACCTCGGTGTCGGCCATGTCAGGGGGGCGCAAGGGCAAAAAGCACACCGGATGGGATCAAGAACGGGGACATTCCCAGCTGAGAGGAAGCCTGCCGACGGAGTCACTGCATTTAAAGCCATCTTTTCAGTTGGGTCGGGTTGATTTCTAAGATCTGGGGATGTTTTGAATTTATTCCAAGAACATTTCTGGAGATAAATCTGCGGGTTTTTACTGAGGATGCACAATATATCGGTGACCACATCTGTATCAGCTGATATCAGTATTTTTCCTGATTTATTATTATCAGTCCAACAAATTTAGCCAATATGAAAAACCAATGAATTTCTAACATAGCGCCTTCGCCTCTACGTTTGATATTGCTGCTATTTCACAGATGTTTTTACTTTAACTGGTCCTGTTTTACTTTTGTTACATAACAAAGACTATGTGGTCTAATTTGGGCTTCTTTTGAATAGTTTCCACGTTCTCACAGTGCTTACTTATACTGATTTTTCGGTGTGAACATAAACTGAATATCGACATTGGTAATATCGGTTATCGGCATTATCAGAAATCTTAATATCGGTATCGACCAGAAATTTTAATATCGTGCGTCATTAGTTTTGACGCCTAAATGCCACAGAATGAACCTTTCTTTTTATCTAAACTTCATTTGATCTGTTATTATCAGACATGTGAGTTATGCTTTTTTAGCTCTGCCCTGTTGAATTTAATGAACCTTATTTTGTGTCCCATTGATTTAAAGATGACTTATTTATTCATGATATTTAGTTAATATACATCCTTTTTAATATATACTCTATCCTTAAATGACACCTGTGACTCCAGCATGATCCCTTTCATTACTATTATTAGGTTTATGCATCAGGTGGTTTAAAAAAAAAAAAAGCATTAATAATTCAACAAAATCACAACGGTAATTAAGTGTTGTCTCTACTTTGACGTTGTGGGTGTTTATGTGAGGTCTGGTTAGAATTAGAATCAGTTTTAATGCCAAGTAGATTTTCACATATGAGGAATTTTATTTGGTGTTTTTTTGCATTACAGCAAACATTAACATGAAGAACATTTCTAAGAAGGATAAAAGATTGAATAAACAAGTGTCGCTGTGGGGTGTAGCTACACAGGTGAACATTAGGTGTTTAGGTTTTATATTGTGGAAAGAAAATCCATCTAATTAACATTTAAGTTTGTTGACTGCAGTGAACACTGTTTACCATCAGATCCTGTGTTCATGAAGTTTCTGTTGCTGTATTTAAATGCATCACATCAATTCAGTTTAATCAATTTCTCATCGTTTCCGCTGCTGTGTGACTCTGCAGGTATTTATCAAAATCAAAGGAAATGATGTGACACAAGGTCAGGCAGCTGTGGGCAGCAAACCGGCAAACCACCTTAATAAAATTATTGTTTCTGAAATCAATCAAACCGGTTTCACAACTGATGGACTCACATTGTTCGCTGTATTTTAAGAGACGTCTCAAGTATTAGCTGCAAAAACTTGGCAGCGAGGATGCCAGAAATGATGAAATATCACATCTTTCAAAGACTAAAAGTGGTGAAAATAACTATCTGTAAAATAAAGATTCTTGTTTTGAGCTGATTCAAATACAGTAAAACGTGTAACTTTGGGGTCAGATGTAAAAGACAGAATGACTCCTGGTAAATATACAGATTTTTGATGTGGACATTTTTCAGCATTTTTTTTTTCTTTTCTTTTTTTACAATCAACATGTAAATTATTACTTTTTTTCTGTGTTCGATATTGTCTATAATTTAGGAGAATAGACCCAGAACAGAAATAAATGGAAATAAACAGGTGATAATAACTGATAGATGCATCAACAGAGTTCATATTGAACATTTTCTACTGTATACTCGGGGAACAGAATGGTATTTTCTCAGTATAGGATGAGACACGACTGCCCAAAGAATGCACCTTAGAAATGAAGTTAATATTTCGTTTTAGATTCTTTCGTTTAAATTCATCTATTGGTGGATTGACAGCTAAAATCTTATTCTCTCAAAATAAAGAAGTGTATATGGTTGGACAGTTGCATGTGTATCTGCACCACAATCTTAACCAAAAACAACTCATGTGATGCTGGAAAAAGCAAAATCTGTTGCAGGGATGTTTCTCGGAAAGTTTGCTTTGCTGCATAATCACGTACAAATGCTTCAACTTTGCATTCTTCAGTAGGTTTACGGTTTTTCCTGTTTGTTGGCACAGTTGGCTGAGATGATATAAATCAACCTGTTTGTGTTGGATTTAAAGATAATCGTGGCTCGCTTCTGAAGCGGCTCCCATCTTTCTGTCCAATGTTTGATACCTAAAGAACTGCCGTGTGATTGGTTGGAAGTTGTTTCAGTTGTTTTTCAGTGGCAAGCAAAGTGTGTTTTGACAGAACGTCAAAGGTTTTCATTTCCAGGGAACATTTCTATCACAGCTCAATTTGAACAAATGGCCCACGCTGTTGTTTTTTTTTGTTTTTTTTTCCCGGCGAGGACAGTTTCACATACACAAAAAGCAGAGTTCATTAGTTCACTGAGATCAATAGATGGTACTTTTAAAAGGTTGTCAGTTAGATGAGTGTTGTACACTCACAAGTTAGCGCCGCTTCCATAAAATCAACTTTTATGTAAGCTTCCAAAACAAAGGCCGAAAATGCCCTTTGTTCTCGTCACTCACCTCGGTCCGTGTCGTACAGAAAGACAAACTTGTTCCAGTCGTAGTGGTCGAGCAGGGACAGCAGCGCCCCCCGGATGGAGGGCCGGAGCTGCAGGGTGAACTGGCTCTCGCCCTCGGTGGGGAAGCTGGGTGTGATGAGGGAGATGTGCAGGGCGCTGCAGAAGGACGTCAACGTGTGGACCGAGCGCTTGTCGTACAGGCCGAAGATGGCGAAGACACCGCGAGAGTACTGGGAGCAAACTGAGGAGGGAAACGACAGCATCCAAACTGATTAATAAACACAACAGAGCAGCTGGGAATGAAAGAGCACAGGAAAAACAACATGGCACTGGACGGATATAGAGTAAAAGTAGTCAAAAGAATCCTAAATAAGTTACTCCTGAGCTTAATCCCAAACTCATCAGTGGTTTTGATTCAGTTATAGCCTTTTCTTATTTTGCTGGAAACTGCTGCCTGCTATGGCTGGAAAACGAAGTTGACAGCAACCAAAACTGTGGAACTGGACATAGCTCTCTTTGGATTTTGTCATTTTAAGCAACCTCTTTTACATCATGCACAGCCTTTGGATTTATATCAACCCTCTGAACCAATCTCTGTGCAGAATCTGTCACATTTTCACTCACTGTGGGCTCATTTTTTGCTGCAATATAAAGTCCTGAACCTCCATGGAAACCAAACAACCATAACGAGAAGCAGACAGAACTCAGAAATGTCTTCTCTTCAGTTTGACACAGTTATATTGCTGCAAATTATAAAATAAAGAAAAAAGGAAGTTCAATTTTTTTTTAGAATGGGGGGAATGTAGAATGCAGAATGTATATTTATGAGCCATGCTGCATTTATTTTTATTGATCAAGCAGGTGTCTTTTTTCTCCCAGTCTCTCTAAATTGTTTCCACACTTGTCTCCTCTCTCCTTTCTGCAAACACTGCCTGCAGTTCAACCGAATCCTCCCTGAATTTTTGACCGTTGGTTGCAGCTGACTCAGTCATGGTCTCTGAGGAACACACAAATCTTAGTTTTTTACAGTGTCTTTCTCTAATAAATGGTTTTAAAAGATGAGATGCCTTTCAAACCCAACAGCTAGATTTGGGATTCAGAGGGTTAAAGAGAAAAAGTAGGGCAGTTGGAAACAGATACATTTATAAAGTAAGTAGTTTTTTCCTCTGTTATTTCCACATAGCTATACAACAAAGGATGTCATCAGGCTGTGAATCAGTTTACATTTCTTCCACTGAGCACTTTCTCCCAGGATAATTTCATTGTTCAGGAGCAAAAAGCAACATACAATGAGGGCTCATCTCCAGAGAAACACTTTTTTTCCCCCTTTAAATAGTACAAAGACAGAAATCTAGTCCCATGCACACAGATAGTGGTATTTCCAGCTTGCTAGAAGTGAATAGAAAGAACTGGGTGGTTAATATGAGCAGCGATCGCCATCATATAATAAAAGATAAAAAAATAAATAAATAATAATAAAAAAAAAAACAACAACAATGCTCGCTGTTTTGAATGACAATTGATTGCTTGGAAATGTGGTGCAAGAATCACCACGGCAATAACCGCTTAGCACGGCAACTGGAGACAAAATAACAAACCATTATCCCTCTGATTACCACTTTAAATCCTTTCAAGAGAAACGCTGAACGCAGTAAACAGAGATCAAAACCAAACGCATCCGTTTCCTCTGATGCTTTCATCTCGGAAGCCGTTCTCTTCCCCCGTTTAAACAGCAACAACGGCACCAACATTTCCTGGCGGCGCATTGACTCATCCCCCCCCCCCTTCGCCATTGTGCAGATATACATCCCCCATTAACAAAACGCATCATGCTCACGCGGCACCGATTCATGACATTAAAAGCAGCACAGACCGAACCTGCATCTGTTGTGTGTTTTATTAGTCGGACTTCAAATTAAACTGAAACTTTGCATTTGCATAAAGCCTGCACAAGCTGTCCACACACACACACACACACACACATATATATATATATATATATATATACACACACACACACACACAGTGCGTCCTGCTTGAGGAGATCTTCTCATTATAGAAAGGTTTGGCTGTCTACAAGAGCCGTACTATAATTGCCCACTTTTTACTCACACAGAACAACAACAGAAAGGGAAGATAATGAGCATCCTCTGCCAGTTTCCGGGTACGAGCAGAATCAGAGTGAAACTGAAGGAAGAGCTCAAGATGTTCCTGTTGTTAGAGGAAAATGGGGGGTAGGGAAGCAAACAAGAGGGCTGCTTCACTGACAAGCCCATTGTTTCTATGCAGAGTGCAGCTCTCGACTGTGGAGACAGAGAGAGAGAGAGAGAGAGAGAGAGACTCTGTCTTTTCTAATCTCGCTCTCTCAGCGAGACAAACAAGACAACAGTCAGACAGCGAGAGCGAAGACACTCTTCTTCCTCTGTTCTGCACACAATTAAGGTACATGGAGGTGCAGAATCTGGGGAAACACTGGAGGCAGGACTGTTGTAACATCACAGCTAAAGTTTGCAGTGCAGGTTGTGCAGACTGTTCTATAGATTCACAGAACAGCACTTGAGCAGACAAGAATTTGAGCATAAATTCCGACTGAAATCACAAAGTTTTTGCAGGAAAAAAAGCAAAGTGATTTCCAAATGAAGGAAAAGGGGGTTTATGGATATATAGACGTAATGCTCCTTTAAGCCGGCTTTATGCTCGACTGATGTGCTCGTTGGGTGTCTGGAAAGGTTCGAAAATCCACCTTGCCGACGTTGGATTAGAGGGTCTGTGTCCAACCAATTTATCCTCCGAGGCTGTGAGTGGGCAGGACGACGTCTGACTGACAACTGAGCCAGCAGGAGATCTAAACAAACCAGTGCTGCAGAGAGAGAACATGAGCCAAGAACGGACAGCGTTTCTTTAGCAGCAGCACTGAAAAATGTACCTTTATGATTGCTGACATTTACAGGTATGTTTCAATGATGAGCTGATTTGTCATCTAGTCTGTAAACTGACTTCAGCAGCTCACTTTTACCTCTGTGGATGTTTGAGGGTTCAGAAAGAACATACATGTTAAAAAAAAAAAAAAAGGAATGGATGACTTTCCTAATATTAGCTGTACTGAGCCGATGTGTGTTATTTTAGTTTGTTTGGTCTATAAAATGTCAGAAAATGGCCCAAGGTGATGTCCTCAAATATCTTGTTTGTCCACAACCCAAAGACATTCAGTTTACTGTCATAGAGGTGGAAAGAAAGTGGAAAATATTCACATTTAAGAAGCTGAAATCAGAGCTTTCTGATGTTTTTCTTAAAAGAAATATAACAGACTAATTGATTTTCAAAAATAGTTAGTCAAGTGTTGCAGCCTTTTCTATCGAGTGTTTCAGAATCATCATCTCATTGTTTTGGTTTCCTGGATCATAATTTTAGTCTTTTAGTCACTTTTACGGGTGTTTCAGATTGCCACAAGTACCTGATTTCATTAGAAAATAAAGAAAAAATAAAATAAAAATCCACTACCTGCATGCTACACAATGCTTCCTGGCTAGCAGGTAAATGGCAAACGACAGACAAAGTTAACATGTCGCTTTGGAGGAGATATTCAGCCACAAAAGAACCAGATATTTCCTTTATGAGCAAATGGAAACCAAAAGAGCTAAAAGAAAAACAATCTATGAATACTGGATATTTATTCCTAAAGTGGACAGAAGCATGAGTCCAAATGAATGCTAATGTTGCCGTGTATTTGTTTGATGTGTCTTTGCTCACAGGTTTGCCACATCAGAGCAAAAGTTGAGAATATGTCAACATTGTGTTCGTAGTTTGTTTCCAATTGGTGATAAAGAACTTGTATTAAGCTTTTGTGTTTTTTATCTTTCCTTTAGTGTGTTATTTAGCTGCTTTTTTTGTGCAGTCCACACCAAAGGGAGATACTGTCTTCCACAGAAAACAGTTCCTTACCTGCCTGAAACACCTCATTCGAAGTCCAGGCTTTTCTTCTGTTACTTACTGACATCACTGTGTTACACATTTGCATAACGCCTGACTAGCAGTTCCCTTACAGTCCGCCATTATTTCCTCACTGGAAATGCTTCAGCTAGAGCTACGTCCTCATACTCAGACATTTGAACATACGATACGTAACCAATGTTGTTTTGCCTTCGTTGAACCAGCTGACCAATCAGAGCAGAGACAGGAGCTAAAACAGAATGTTTCAAACAGACGGTAAGAAGAAGTGCTGCATCAGTGTACGATATAAGGAAAGGTATTTTCTGAACATTAAACATATTCTAGTGGGCCTTTAAAAATAAAATGATAAAGCTGTAATTGTGTATAATATGGGCTCTTTAAAGTGATATTAAGAGTCGCTGTTCCGTTACTGTTTCTGTCAGACAATGATGATGCTGCTTTATGCAAATTCACTTAAAATTACATCTCTATTCATTATATTTTAGGTAATTATCTATTTTTTGGGTTATTTAAAGAAGATATGCATGCTACATAAGAAAAAAAAAAGCCCAATTTAACTTAAGCTGGACTTAAGCAGTCAAATAATGTAGTAAATATAATATATAATATAATATAAACACTTTTTTTCACGTATGGCCACACATGTTCCCTGGAGACCACACACACAGTAAATAAAGCCTACTCTGAGTACGTCTGTGTGTGTGTGTGTGTGTGTGTGTGTGTGTGTGTGTGTGTGTGTGTGTGTGTGTGTCCTTATTGAGGGACGAATGCGATCACGAGTCATGCTAGAGAGGGAGTCCACTCAACCAAGAAAGCAGACCAGAGGTTGGAAAATCCACACAGCCCACTGATGTCCCCTGGAGGGATAGGGGAGGGATAGGATGACATCAGTGCACACACACACACACACACACACACACACACACACTTTCCTGAATCCTCACATGCTAGCCCAGACCCACTCTGCGCACGCTGTTATGCAGAAATACCAGTCTGAATAACAACACATTAATATGTATGGAAGGAAACCTGCTGGTCTGAGATTTAAACTTTCTGTTTGTTTCCAATTTGCTGCCTGTTTTCATTAGACTCCAACTGTTAATGCAACAAAACAACATTACTACAACCAATAATAATTTATTACAGCTGCTGTGTCTCAACTACATGCATGTTAAAGTAGGACCAAGAAGCCGATAACAATAGGATTTATTATCATACATTGACTAAAATGCATATTAAGTACTCTCACAGTTGCATTTATATTACAAAGATGCTGAAAGATAGAAGTAT